TCGGAGGAGTAAGGCTGTGTCAGGTCGTTATAACCTCATGTTGAAACTCTTAAAATGCATCACAGATGAAGCGGAGAAGAATACCCACTGACATGAAAGTGAAAAGTTCAATGAACAATTATAAGACAGCCAGTTCTATGTATCAGTTTGTCAAGCAACCGGAAATATCCAAAGTGTGTTTGAAATGAGAATGTTAGAATAGGATGAGTAATCAAAAAGCATGCAAGATGTTAGGGGTAATAGAATTACCATTCTACTTGTCAGTTATGGAATTGAAATCTAGATAACTGGTTCAGGAGATGTGGAGAGAAAGGAGAGTTAGCTTCACTTGATATGAATGGCTTGGACATTTGCAGTGGAGATGAATGTGCACTGCTAGGATTATAATTGAAGGATACCAAAAGAATCGGGAAGGGGGGATACCGGTTGCATTTCAATTTCAGTATAGCAAATTCCCCTTATTATGGTTGAATAAAGAAAGGATGCATGCAAATGATTAAAAAGTTTTGGGACAAAGGCTATTAGATCTTTCCAATATAAACCTACAATATATGGTTGTTCCTATAACAGTTTCATTGTTGGGCATTTCTATACCCAATGTTTTAAATGTCGGATGTCGGGTTGGACGGCTAAAATTCATGTCGGATAGCGGAAATCAGGGATATGTCGGGGGGCATGAAAAAATATCAGATTGCCTATAACAGTTTTAGTGTTGGGCATTTCTATACCCAATGTTTTAAATATCGGATGTTAGGTTTATGTTGAACGACTAAAATTCATGTAGGATAGTGAAAATCGGGGATATATCGGGGGCATGAAAAAATATCAGATTGCCATATCGGATGGTTTGCATGTGTAATATAAATATCATAAATAAAAACTAAACATACTTAATAAATTATATTGTCTAGAGTCTAGACATATAGCAAAAGTAAATAACTTATGATGCTTAGAGTTGATATTGAAGGAAAAAGGGTAAGAAAAAAGGAGCCCGATTTTGGTAGTTAAGGAGAGAGAAAAGATCGTGTGGAAGGAACAACTCGGAGAAGAGATATTTGCTGGGAACTTTTCCCCCTTCTCTTGTATTGTATTATTTCTTAACATTCTCTTGTATTGTATTATTTCTTAACATTTTCTTCACCTGTATCTTGTATGTCTCATTCCTTCTTTTAAATTGTGAATTCATGATTGGCTTTTCTCTTAATATAAAAAATATATATTAAAATTTAGACATCTCTTTCAACGTTGCTTTTCAGTAAAGAAAGATAAAAATATATCTAGATAATGTTGCTTTACAGTAAAGAAAGATAAAAATATATCTAGATGGGCATATGCTATTCTTCCCTGAATAATGTCACCTGCCCTCTTATTGCTTTTCTGATGCGGAAGTACGTTGTAGTCCATGTATTCCAGTTTCGATTTTTCTTTTTATTTTTACTATGACAGGAGGATTATCGAGTTGTAATCATTGGACAATGGCCTACTTTCTCTGAGCACAACAGTTTATTTTTATTATATTTTATGTTATGCTTCTTATTCTTTTAAATTGTCCTCTTCTTAAATGGTTGCATTTGAAATTGAGAAAGTATGAGTAAATGTAAAAGATGTTTATTCGAATACTCACTTTTTACTTAATTGTTACAGTTATTGAGACCAAGGATGGAACCATCTCTGTAGCTTCTGCATTTCCCGGCCACCATGAAGGTAATACTAATGCTTTTTCCTCTGTTTGTGACGGAAAAGCTGGAAGCTTTCTTCTAACTCTATCAGTTGTTGAATGCTGTTTAGAACATGCTTTCTTATCGTGTGGTCTCTTTCATCATCAGCTGTTCAGGACAGAGATCACAAGTTCTTATCAAAAGCCATTGATGAAGCATATAGTGGAGTTGATTGCAGTGATGGAGGCCCTTTTGGGGCAGTGATAGTTCGTAACGATGAAGTTGTTGTGAGCTGTCATAATATGGTTTTGAAGAACATGGATCCTACTGCTCATGCTGAGGTGACCGCAATTAGGGAGGTACGTTGCAAGGTTACCTTATTTATTTTTCTTCTCATGTCATTTTATCAGTCAACGTAAACCATTCAATTAGATTTTATGCATGATGTGAGAATGCTTTAGTAGTAGTTTTGATATATTTCTCGTTGGGCATAACTAAGTGAACAATCTATTGACAGCTTGTTAACCATGATCTATAGTTGTTTACTTTTGTACGTATTTTCTAGTAAAATTTCTACTGTGTTGATGCTCGTGAACAAACAGTCGATGGGGGTTGCAGAGTTGCTGGATCGTCGAGATGTTGAATCATCGAGAGGGGGCCGCTTTCCTTCTTTGATTTTATGCCTGATTCTTAGAGCTCGGAACGGACGAGCGACCTGTACATGCAAGAATCGTGGGAGTGGGGCTTATTTCTCCCGTGGTACCTCTGACGGTCAAGTCAGCTACCGGACTTGGGTGGGGTGAAGGAAGAATAGTGTATCCTCCCCAAAATAAAGTGTAGTTTTTAAGTAGTAAGGAGAATCCAACTTCTTTTCATGACGAATAGCATATGTATTTATATAGGATGCCAAGGGCCGAATCGACATCTAGTGAGAATGCAGTTTATGATGATGACGAGGGGTGAGCTGGAGGCTGAGTCACCCTCTGCTCGATACGTGTCGATTGGTGAGTGACGTGGAGTCACTTTTGTGGTATGGGGAATCAGCAGCCGTCGAGGCTTGTCGACGAGTGACGTGGGGTCATTTCTGTGGTATGGGGAATCTACAGCCGTTGAGGCTTGTCGACGAGTGACGTGAGGTCACTTCTGTAGTATGGAGAATCAGCAGCCGTCGAGGTTTGTCAACGAGTGACGTGGAGTCACTTCTGTGGTATGGGGAACCCGCAACCGCCAAGTCTTGTCAATGAGCGACGAGAAGTCACTTCAGTGTCGCAGGGAACCCTCAGCCGACAAGGTTCCAGATGGCTGAGGACGGAGACATAATGATGATCATAAAAGGTTAAATAATACTAAGAAGAAATATTCCGAGTCGTCCTTGGGAAAAGTGTCGGTTGATCGATTGGGTAATCATCTTTTGCTCGGCTGAGTCCGCTCTTCGAGTCGTCTTGGAATGAAGTCGACTCGACCAAACCTGCTCTCGGGATATCATATATATGGGGAACAGGGAACACCCTATAACAATCAGCCCCTTTCGCTTGGATGCAGTTGTGACCGTATGCAAGGAAAAAACAAATGAGCAGAGACTGAATAGAACTGATTTTGTCAGATGACAGCGAGTCTTCAGACGGCACGGATGAGGAAACGACAACTGTCATTCCGCTATTGGAAGGGGGGACTGAAGCCCCTGAGATGCCTGCTCCTGCTGATGCTGGTGCTCTGGGCCAAGAGGCTTCGGTAACTGCTGATGCGACCGCTCCATCTCCTGAGACCCTCGCGGGTTAAGAAAAATAAATAAGAATGAGTCATGTTTCCCTTCTTTTTTATCAGTCATTGTCATTGGTATTTTTGACTTTGTAAATAAGAAGAGCTAATGAAGAAATAAATTCATTTCGAGTGTTTTAAACTATAAGAAGAGCTAATGAAGAAATAAATTCATTTCGAGTGTTTTAAACTCTTGAATTTTTCTTGTTCCTGCTCGATTGAAAGGTGATACGAAATAAATTCATTTCGAGTGTTTTAAACTCTTGAATTTTTCTTGTTCCTGCTCGATTGAAAGGTGATACAGGAATTGACCTTGAAGTTGAGTGCCCAGGCTAAAAAGAGTCGACGAGGTCTTCCATTTTCCCTTAGGACTGAGAGGCGACTTTGGGAGTCGGTCAAATGGTTGTGTCTTGGTTTTATCATGAGGAGGTACCGATGACTTTTCTTCGACTGAGGAGTCGGGTGCCTAGCTGACTAGGTCTTCTATTTTTTCCTAGGGTCGAGAGACGACTATGGGAGTCGGTCAAAGGGTTGTGCCTTGGTTTTATCCTGAGGAGATACCGAGGACTTTTCATTGACTGAGGAGTCGGGTGTCTAGCTGACTAGGTCTTCCATTTTTCAGTTATTATGGTGACGCAAAAGTTTGGCTAAAGCCGTTTCATCAGATATATTATCAATTATCTAAGGCGTGCATTCTTCATAGGGAATTTTCAACATTCAAGAGATTAAACTGAAATCTTAAAGGAAATACCGTCGTATGTGTTCAATGTTCCATTGATGACTGAGGATTCGTCCATCTGGAGCTCTCAACCGATAGGTGCCGGCTCTAAGTTCCTCCATAACAGTGTAGGGTCCCTCCCAATTGGGAGCCACCTTCGGAGGAGATTGGTCCACTCTTGCTCAGAACCTGTCATTTTTTTCTCAAAAAGAGAAAAGTAGCCCCACGGTGGACGTCAAACTGTTGATGCTTGGAATCACACAGCCCCACGATGGGCGTCAAACTGTTGATGCTCGTAAATAAACAGTTGATAGGGGTTATCGAGTTACTGGATCGTCGAGATGTTGAATCGTCGAGAGGGGGCCGCTTTCCTTCTTCGACTTTATGCCTGGTTCTTAGAGCTCGGGACGGACGGACCACCTGCACACACAAGAATCGTGGGGGTACGGGGCTTGTTTCCCCGTGGTACCTCCGATAGTCAAGTCAGCTATCGGACTTGGGTGGGGTGAAGGAAGAATAGTGTATCCTCCCAAAAATAAAAGGTGTAGTTTTTAAGTAGTAAGGAGAATCCAACCAATATGTAACTAGAGAATTTTTTTAGGTTCAGGAGTGATGGAGAGACCGAACCTCTTTTCAGGATGAATAAGGTCTGTATTTATATAGGATGCCAAGGGCAGAATAGACACTTAGTGAGTGTGCGGTCTAGGATGGTGGTGAGGGGTGAGCTGAAGGCTGAATCACCCTTTGCTCTATACGTGTCGATTTGCGAGTGATGGAAGGTCACTTCAGTGATATGGGGCACCCGCAGCCGTCAAGTCTTATCGATGAGCGGCGAGAAGTCACTTCAGTGTCGCAGGGAACCCTCAGCCGACAAGGTTCCAGTGGCTGAGGACGGAGACATAATGATGATCATAAAAAGTTAAATAATGCTGAGAAGAAATGGTCTGAGCTGCCCTTGGGAGGAGTGTCGGCTAATTGCTAAGCAGTAATCTTTTGTTATGAAGAGGTTCGACTGAGTCCGCCTTTCGAGTCGTCTTTAAGGAATAGAGTCTTTCAAGTGAGGGAGTGACGGCTCACGGGACAATATATTCCTGAAGAATAGGGGATACCCCATAACATACTGGATTTTGTTACATGAACTTTCTGTATTAAGTCTGAGCATTAGAGCATTATACTCACAAAAAAAGGAGATGGTAGTGAAGTTGATGCTTCTAATATGCTTGGTCATTATTAAATTAGTTTCTGGCGGTGAAAAGAAATCTTAGATCCCATATTTATTTAGTAAAATTAGTTACTCACTTATATGCTCTGTGCCACAAATTCTCGGCTGGAGCTTCATTCTTTTTTGGCATGCTGGAGTATTAATTCACTTCATCGTTCACTAAACAGCAAGTGCTAGAGAGATGTAATGCAAGATACCATAAACACGTGTTCATATGTTCTAATAAGTGAGGAACACTGCTTAGAGCTTGTTGTTGCAATGCAAATAATAGTACATATACAGTTATACATACATGTAAGTTTATGCAGAAGTGTCCCCTAAGTTTTCATGTACCAGAGAGTGTGCTTTGTCACATATTCCATTTGCACAGTACCTCAATGGATTGGTCCTTTGATGCAGGCTTGTAAGAAACTAGGACAACTGGAGCTTTCTGATTGTGAAATTTATGCTTCCTGTGAGCCATGTCCAATGTGTTTTGGTGCAATTCATCTTTCTCGAATTAAGGTACTTCTCTTAACATTCTAGCTTTTTTACTTCACTGAAATCATCTGAACGGATTTAACCCGGTCAGTTTTACTTTGCTTACACAATGCAGAGGCTGGTATATGGAGCAAAGGCAGAAGCAGCAATAGCTATTGGTTTCGATGATTTTATAGCTGATGCGCTGAGAGGCACAGGATATTACCAGAAAGCTCAGATGGAGATTAAACGAGCTGATGGCAACGGGGCCATCATCGCTGAACAAGTCTTTGAAAATACCAAGGAGAAGTTTAGGATGTACTGACAGAGGCTCCCACTGCTGGCATGAAAAGAAAAAAAGTACCTGAAATTCAATGTTCTGATGATGATGAAAGGATTGAGAACAACTCTAAATAAACATTCGATCTGTTGATATTTCTGATTCTCTCTGATTATTGTCTTACTTTTAAGGGAAATCAATTTCTTTGAGGTATATTCATGGATTCCCTTAATATTTTTACTGATGATGATGATGATGATGATGATGATGGTGATGGAAGGGCGAAACATAATTCTAGCTCTTTCTGGTTACTGGACTCATTTTAAGTCGATTCTTAACCAAGATCGATCCTCCTACATTGCACGCTTCTTATTCAGGAACGCATGATACTTTTTTTTCACAATTCATGAAACGTGCATCTCTTCCGTTGAGGATTACCTGCTGATGTTCATCGATTATGTTCCGCATTGATCTTGCAACGATTCTCCATGTCGAGTTGGAGGACTGCTGGGCAAAACTGGACCGTGCTCATAATGCAGGATTTCATCACAAATGCTGTAATAAAAAGATATTGATTCTTTTCTTTAATCACCACGGCCACGCTCTTCATCTTGAGCAAAAGATGCGTGCGCTTCTGTTAAATAAATAGAAAACTTTCCGTGAAACGTCCAATTATGAGAAGGCAACTACTTGGACAAACAACGACTCTCAAAGAACTCTAAAGTTCAACTCTAAAGTCAAGACCCGCGAACCGGAGGCGTTAGGGTTTGGGTTCAGAGAAGCACCGTCGAATCCCTCCTCAGGTCAGGGAAATCCTCCTCGTAGAACGCTTCGTCGTCGTCCTATAAATACTGCTCGTCGGAGAGTTCATCGCCGGTGGTCGCCATTGACTATGGCTGGGGTTTGGGTTTCCGGGCGAAGCGGCGGGGTTTTTCGATTTATTTATCTGTTTGTTTATTTATTTATTTACAGAGCGGGCCACGCGGGGATCGTTATTTTTAATTGGGCTGTGGACCAACAAGCTTTTGCGGGCTCGGGCTGAAACAAGCTTTAATAAGGCCCAACCGGGGGAAAGGAGCAAGGCTGACCGGGCGGTGAAGAGAACGAAAGCTCACCGCTTCATTCAAATTTCAAAAAAAAAAGAAGAAGAGGACCGTTGGGATCCCCCCACGAGAGAAAGCGTGAGCAGAGCGTGAAGAAGGCCAGGGAGGAGCTCTCTCACTGAACTTAATGAAACGGGAAACGAAATTTTGAAGCTGAATCCGTTTGATTTCAATAAAAGTTTCGGCATGAGACGCCACGGGTTCCAGCTCCCTCTTCATCACCTCCAGGTTCTGCCATTACTCCTCGATCCCCCTCTTTGTTTACTTTTTTTTTTCATAAAATCAATTAAGCGTTTAACCGAAATCCAAAACGATCCAAGTTCTTGTGACAATTTAAATTTTTTACGCGTTTGGATCCCTGCAGATTGTTGGTGCGGTGATGTTCACTTTCCTAGTTGCTGCCTTCTACGTGTTCCTTGGACCTTATCTCGGTAACAAAGTTGCCGAAAGCATAACGCTTTCGCTCTTCTCCTTCTCGGTAACAATAAATCCACCCCCCTAATTTTTCACATTAACGTGGATCCCAGTTATCGAACCGAATCTTTTTTCTCTTGCTCCAGGCTTTTTCCGTGGTGATGTTATACATAAGGTGTACCTGGATCGATCCGTCCGATAGAACGAGCATCAGAAGAAGAAAGAGAGCGAAATCTAAAGGGCTCTCTAAGTTCAGTTACAAGTTCATTCTGTACCAGGTTGTCGCGAGGTTCTTCAGAAGGCTCGAACGTAAGATCCTCAAGAGCTGCATCAGGAGAAAGTATTTGGATCCCTGGAATTCCGCTGCTAAAATGGAGCCTCTTCTGCCTTTCCCTCTTGTTGACGTGGACGATGCCGTCCCGCCTTATATGAAAGACGAGGAAATTACATTTTGCTCACTTTGCGACTTTGAGGTTAGTACGCATGGATAAAAGCCTTGGACAAATTTTCAAAACCAACATCTTTCCACATTTAATCTCAAAAAAGACCCATTTTGAAGTTATTTCCAAAAACCGACCTGGTTTCAGCCTTGACGTTGAACTCCCGTGAAGTTTAGCAAAGCTGCCGTGAAGTTCATAGTTTAAAAAAAGTTTTTGAACTATGAAACTTCATGAGAGTTGAACTCTCGTGAAGTTTAGCAGCTTTACTAAGCTTCACGGGAGTTCAACTCTCGTGAAGTTTTCTGAAGTTTTTTTTTCAAAAACCGACCTGGTTTCAGCGCCAACCAGGTTAAAATATTGTTGAAAGGGGTCTTTTTTGGGGATTAAATGTGGAAAGAGGTTGGTTTTGAAAATTTGTCCTAAAAGCCTTTTCTAATTCGACCGTGCAAACATGAGAGCAAAACGCAAATATTTTATTTTACGGTTTCAACTTCAGTTCTGTCTTTTGTTGTTCCAATTGCCTCCACGTAGTGTTATCAGCTCACAAGGTGCAGTGTGAGGTGCGAACACACACACATGAATGCTCCCACAAAGCCATCCTGGCATAACCCCGCCTGCAAGCACGGGCACACACACACCCGCAAACACAAACATACATACATATGTATGTAGCATACATGCAGGCATGCATACACACACATAAACATCTCCCAACAATATTACAACATACCCAACAGCGCAGCTTCATTCCCAGACACTGAAAACAACAAATAGCAACCAGCCCCGTTAACATTTTACACATCCACCCTCCCATCAGTGTCATACACATGTGCATTACCTATTCCGACTCTTCACTAGCCAAGCCATGTATTCCCATATCATCAGACTGTGTTTGGCGACCCGTCTAAAACTGGGCTGGGATCAGTCCTTGGCCAGTTTTATCCTAAGCCAGATCTAAAAGGGACTAGGGGAGGGGTGCCTGGATGGTCCAAAGTAGAACAAGTTTAGTGGCTAAAATTTGCCCTACAAAAACTGGGCCAATTCTCCCCACCCCACCCCACAAAAAAAAAATCCAAAACCGGGCTAGGTTCTGTCCATAACCAGTAGGTTTGGGTCTATCTGGTACATGAATCAAATTAAGGTCATGGATACATGATAGACAATGAGTAAGAACTATAGAAAAAATGATCTAATTCCATAAAAAACTTATGAATTAAGTTGTTATGCTATCGCATCATAAGAGGTGAAAGTGATTGATTGTTTATATCTCAATCGGATCTAGAGATCTTCCTTCTGCTTGTCTTAAATAATGAAGAACTTCTTACGCAGATAGTGAAGAACTTCTTACACAGATAGTGAAAAAAAATTACATGAGCATTTTTCTCCTTGATAACCGTCCAAATTGGACTACTCAAATTATCAAATTTAAGTTAGCTGATGATGGGGAAAAAGTCCTTATTTTTATTCCATTGTTGTATGTCTCATTTGGCGTTTAGAGGGGAATACTTGTTGATCTGCGACTACCTTTTCTCCAAACCATAAGACGGAGGAGATGCGATTGAATGGTTCACATGGATGTTCCTCAACAGAAGCCTGTCCCTAATCCTTTGTGGACTACAGCCTGGTTCACTACAAGAACCAGCCAGTTTGATCTGCTCCCAGTTCAAATACCATTTGATCTGGTTGCATTCTATGCCATGCATCCTAATCCTATTAGTATTTGGACCAACAAATTACTACAGTTGAACCTAATTTCGCATAGCATTTGGACCAACATTACTACAGTTGCATTCTATACATAGCATTCTCATACCGTTTTGGATGATACACGCTATATAACTAGCTATACGAAATATCCCTAAAACAAAATTACCTATGATTTCACAACTGGAATAGTATTCATTTGTTTATTTATTTATTTGTGAAGAAAGTTAGAAGTAAGCGCTCCCTCTTTCTCAAACTTCCTCTTGCAGGTTAAATTGCACAGCAAACATTGTAAAACCTGTAATCGGTGTGTTGATGGGTTTGATCATCATTGCAGGGTAAGAAGACTGGAAACTTGTTCATATAGCCACACAGACTTATACGTGCATAGCCATAACTAAGCTTATCTTTGTTACAGTGGTTAAACAACTGCATTGGAAGAAAGAACTACACTACTTTCATCCTTTTAATGGTTTTCATTTTGCTTATGGTAAGTAGGATTTTAACTTCTGCAAGCAAAATAAACTTTTAGATACCTCTATGACTTTGTTGTTGTTATTTGACTTCACTAAGATGGAAAGTTATCTAAGTCAAAGGGCTTCTCCTGCAGCTCACAATGGAATTTGGGACTGCAGTTGCCATCTTTGTTCGCTGCTTTAGAGACAGCAATGGAATATCACAAGAACTTGAAAAGAAACTCCACGCCAAGTTTCCTAAAGGGGTGCTTCCATCAGTAGCAGTTAGTTGCTCCTTTCTTTCTTTCTTTCTTTTTTCTTCTTTCTTTTTGGGGGTTCAAACTCTCTTCTTTCATGATTTGATCAAGCGCTGATACTTAAGATTCCATGTTTTTTCAATTCTTTTGCAGGTATTACTAGCACTGTTGACATTTTATAGTTCTTTTGCACTCGGGCAGCTCTTCTTTTTTCATGTGGTACTCATTAGAAAGGTACTATTAATCAAACGATGACATATACGCACACAGTTTGTTTTTCCTGTGGTTGACAGTAATGAAGTTTGCTATATTTTGTGAATGTTGTTTGACAATTCAAGCATCAACAAAATGAAACCATGTTGGATTTTAGAAATTATGTACTGAAACCCTAACTGAAGGCTACAAACTTGACCTCATTAACAGTGGTCGAATGCACTGGATAGAAATCAATCTCAATGTCCTTTACTGACAAAATACTGTCTAGAAATTTTAAACCTCGAGAATAATAACAAATGGTGCTTCTACATCATTCTCATTGGCGTAGCTTGAACTTTCACCTATATGTGAAGGCTAGTTTGCTGTCTAAGATGTCTCTTTGACTTGTATGATTCCTGAAAGATGAGATTATCAATACCGTCCTATTATCTTTATACAGATATTTTTGTCGGTTTAATAATTTGGAGGGTTATCTCACTATAGTACCACTTAGCAAGAAAATGATTGGTAGTTCTCTCTATGATGATTCCAATAATCGGAAGAATAGGTATAGTTCAATCTTCAAAGCTGCATTGCCAATTTTTGCAGGGAATGGGAACATATGATTACATCCTAGCGATGAGAGAAGAGAGCCAACTACTGGATCTTTCTGATGACTCTGATTCTGATCTATCTTCTGATGAAAGCATTGATCTGGACTCGCCAGATAAATCGTCCTACTTCTCTCGATTCTTTTGCAGAAGGCAAAACATGGATCAGGTAATGTACTACCTTATTCATCAAAACTGCACAAATGATACTTTCATCTCATTTTAAGTTCGTAAAGCATATTATGTTTATGACTACCAGACTACTAGAAGCCTATCCTTAACACTTGTCAAAGACTCTACTCCCTCCGCCTCAGACAAGAAGCATGAAGTCCGAATCGACCCGTGGAAGTTAATAATGATGAGCAAAGAGAAAGCAATGGTGGCAGCAGAGAGAGCTAGGGAAAAAATTATGAGGCAGAAGTCACAACCGACACGCTCACCATTAAAACCATTGCCATTGGAGACAAAGAGAGGACCCTCGACGAACCTGGAAGTCAAACGAGTTGCTGAGGTGACGCCAGTTGTTTCAAATAGTGGGAGGTTCTCAAGTCCAAGGAGGAGGTTTTCTGGTTCTCCATCACCAAGGCCTCAGAAGTACAGGAATAACTTTGATTTGAAGCTGATTGAGGTATCGAGGGAGCTCGATACCTATATCTCTAAGCAGGTGTTATGCTCTGCTTTGAAGAAGGGTGGAGAAAATGAGGCTTCTCCGAGATAGCTTTTTAAATTAAATCTATATATTTCTTTTTCTGATCTAAATTCTCAGCCTCTGAGAAGGGTTGGGCTTCTTGTTGATGTATATTCAGAGATCCAGGTCTGTTTTTGTTATGATATGGGTATGTAGATCAAGTGATAGAACATGATTGATTCACTATATGAAAGAAGACGCAGACCTTTATCTTATATTTTGCTTAAATTTCTTGAGCACATCTCTCATTCATCCTTACCATGACAAAAACTTCCCTAGTACACAGATAAAGCTCATGAGCGTATTAATTGTTCTTTTGGTGGCGAAGTATGTGCTATTTCTCATAATAACAACAGTGGGTAAATTTCCTAGTTCACAAAAAGATAGAAAACTTGTATCGTTTTTCTTTGTATAGGCAAGCTAATTTGAATTCTTATGAGGTGTTTTTTTTTCCATTATGAATATCCGATCCTGCGCTGAGGCTGACTCCCTCTAGTCAGGTTTCAACAAATAAAAGAATTCAGTTTTTATCCAGCGGCTAACAGATATAGTTCACTGAAATTCCATTCGCAAGATCAACTTGTAAATCCTACTTGGAATATTTATGCACCATAAATTCAATAAGAGATACTTTCCTGGATAAATAAACACAAATCAGAGACACCCGACAAATGGAGAACCAATCCAAACAAGAAAAGGCGGAAGAAAGATTCACGAGACATTATTTTCAGATAAAAGAAACATCCTTTACAAAGAATTATTTCAGATCACAGCGACTTGAGTTCAACGGCATTACCAGTTGACAGGTTCGTGCCATAACCTTGCTGTCTTAAATTTTCAGCTGCATAACAAACTGAAGAATGAACAGGAACGTCTCCCCTCAGAGGCTCACAAGATTCAGGTAACACCAAGTTAGAGTATCCTTCAATATTCAAACACTTCCATGGAGCGCTATCAGATGTCACATTAAGCAACACATTAGCCAGACAAATACCACTAAAACTATCCCCCTGTATACCCTCCAAAAGCCCAGCAACACTAATATCCGACCCCACAACATCTCTTATTGTGATCTTATCAATCAAAGGAAGAGCATTCACATCAAACTTCTCATCTGGGTGCTCACCAAACTCTCCGGTTATCCTGACAGCAACCTCAACGCTACTCATGGTGATGTCAGATATGTAAATATTACGAATATATCCACCACGGCCAGGGGAAGTCTTGATACGAACCCCATGTTTCGAGTTGGAGAAATGAAGGCCCTTGGCGATGACTTCTGAAATGCCACCTGACATCTCACTGCCGATGGCAATGCCTGCACCCTGACCGCTGGATCCAGCAAGGCGAAGGATGGTGATGTTGGAGCTTGGACGAGCAAAGGAGA